ATGAGGGGAGTGTGCACACCACTGGGGAGTAGAGCACCATCTGCACTGATGACGCCAGGTCCAAAACTGCTTTGCAAGCAGGACAACAATACAGTCGCTAAAGTGGAGGATTCTTATATGGGTGAAGGCTTTCTTCCTGCAAAGAAGTCAAGTGCTAATTTTTTTTTTTTACTTCGAGTGCATAAGTGTTCTATTGTACCACCAGCTCATTATCAAGGTCAAGAACCTGGGCTGTTGTCCCACAGCTCTTTGCTGGTCCTCTGTTTTTCAACTGGTCTAGCCTGGTTACTCTAGTTCTTCCTTATGCTCCAAAGACAAGTTAATGTCTAAATTGCATATGCATGTGCCTTTCTATTAAGGAGGGTCTGGTCTAGGGTACAGTGCCAACTTACACCCTGTGACTTCAACCCAGATCCCATGTTACTAAACATTTAGAGTATTCCAAAGTATAGAGTATACTAAGCATTTGGACTAATATGTTGTGTTTATACATAAGATAATGGTAACATTTAGAAGATGGGTATACTGTAGATGCAGAAGCTTGAATTATGTCCATTAGTGCTATGTAGATGGGTTCCTCTGCCATCTGATGTTTGATTTTCTTCTCCTTATATCTGTTTACAAATGGTGTGATAAAAACAGAAATAGTTGGCACTTTCCTCATTGACAGTAAGAAGAAAGCTGGTCCTCAGGTAGCCTGGATGACACAAATCAATCTGATACTGCAGTCGTGTAGATCTCATGGGAGAAGTGTACTTTTCTCACCCTTGGGAATCTTCCCAGCTGTCAGACAAACCCAGTTTACACCTGTTTCACCAACATTATCACCCATAATGGAGCACTTCAGAGTGACAGTTTGTCCTGGAGATGCAGGGACAACAGAAGGAGACTCGGGAAAAATGTCCATCTTAGAAAATGGATAGTCAACCTAGTATTCAGTATAACTATAGATTACCTTGGATTTGCACCAAATTCAATGTTTTTTTTATGACAATTGATTGAGATGGATGGAGTGAGATCCTACTATTGCCTCACTGAAATTTTAAATCTTACTTTGATCAAAAGTGTTTTAAATGAAAGGTTATCTGACTGTTAAACCTTATTTTTATTTTCATCATCTTGAAGACTCAGACCCAAGTTAGATTGTTTTTGATAAGTGATTGAGAATGAGATCCAGCTATATTGTCTTGAGAAGTTTAAAATTAAGACATTAAAGATCAAACACTTCAACAACTGTTTTAAATCCAACATTATCTGACTGTATTCAACATTATTTTGTTACTTGTGTGTGCAGTTTATAGCTTACTGCCAGGTTTCACAATTAGTACCATGGGTGTATAATTGAGTTTTGTAAGTGGGTTAAAAATGTTAAGCCCTGTTTATACAGCCAATTGTTTACTGGAGCAATTGATACGCACCATGTTGCTCATCCGTATGTTATCAAACCCAATATAATCATATGTAGCCCTCATATTAAAGACATGTCAAGTTTAGAGTTATGCATAGAAACAGTTTAAATGTTCCTAAATATTCTTAAGTAAAATAATTCAAGTTTCCAAACACTCTAAAATTACATCAAGTAACAAACTTTTGATATAGTTCAAGTAGGTAGCTGTGACAACATGCATAGGCTGCAAAGGAACAAGAAAAGGTTTATTCCATGGCAAAAAAAGGAAAGATCCACTTAAATGCCACAATTAATAAGAAGCTATATTGATCACTAAAGGTTTAGTTCTCAGAATGGCAGTAGTTAGAGTGTCTATTCAGATAGAATGACAAAAGCACCAACCCCAGAAGCAGCACAGCCAGGATAGCCAACAGCCAGCTAAGTCACAACTAATATGAAAACTAACTAGTATTATAATGAAAGAATTTTGTCTTGGGACAACTCTCCCTCTCGGAATATTTGAATTGGAACAAAGATGGGGAAAAAACAAAACAAAAAAAACAGTCCGTAAAAGTGGATCTTGTTTGCAATGAAGAGACATTGAAAATGCATGTTTGCATCCGATTTTATTTTTAGCATTTTACCCAACCACAATGGCAAGACAAATCTGCAACAATCATTCTTATGATCCCTCCTTCACAACTACTGACCCTTTGGTGTAGTTGAGGCCCTTGTAGACACCGCTGGTGTCAAACCGAAGCACACTCCCATTCCTGCAGGTGACTTTAACAGTGCCCTTGTATGGAAGATCAACATTCGCATGACCGAGTGTGATGGCAAC